GGTAGAGCAGATCAATTTGTAGTAAGATAAAAGGCCTCAGTTTAGCCAAGGATTTGATTGGGAATAAATTATGGAGGTTTAGGGACTAAGTTATTTATCTTAAATTTATAAAGGAGAAAGAAGTAAAATGAATTATTTTAAGGAAAAGATCGGAGGGCTGACTGAATTTGATTAAGAAATCAGTTTAAAATTTCTTATATTAATACATAAAAGTTACATTAACTGGTATCCTAATATATTATTTTAAAGATATTTATTTTTATTTTAAAAAGTTTTAATTGCCAGAGGGAGAGTGAGCACTCAGCCAAGTATGGTCGGTCCTCAGTCTCCATTTCTCCAGTCTGATGGGATTTGAGGCATGCATATATACGTGTCCTACTTGTTTATCAAGCTACTGGGACCAGGACTTGAATCTTTAGTGGCCATGTGGGATTAGACTCCCTTAACTACTAATTAATATTAACTACTACTAATTGTCTTTTTTTTTTTTTTAAGAGAGGTTTTTGCTATAGGGCATGTGCATTTGCTAGAAAGACAGAGAGAGAGAGAGAGAAAACGAGAAATGGGCCACACCACAACCCCTTCTCCTCCATTCTCCTCTCTGGATCTTCAGCATGCACGCACATGCACCTGGTGTGAGTTTAAGCCACTGGGTCTAGGACTCGAACCATGGTCAGCTACATGGGAGTCCAGCGACATAGCCATTACGCCATCTGCTGGTCCCAATAATTGGTTTGGATATGTATTTGGTGACTAATGATGCTACCATCTTTAGGTGCTAGTACATTTGTTTTATTCATAGAAATGTTTGTTCAAATCCTTTACTCAATTTTACTCTTTTTTTTGTCTTTTCATTGTTGAGTTATAGGAGTTCTTTTTTATATTCTGGATACAAATACATTATTAGATATAGTCACAGTGACAAACATACATTATGAGAAATATTTGATGGGGTGATTTTGTCTTTGTGTGAACATGCATGCACTTATACAAATATAGATGGATAACCTACTGCTCACTAGGTTATATGGTATATTCTTATGCAACACAATCATTTTTTTTTTAAAGAGGGTTTTTTTTTTTTTTTTTTTGCCTTAAGGTGCATGCACTCACTGCAGTGTGTGGGAGGGTGGAGGGGGTGCAGGGTGAGAGACAGACTCAGTGAGGGAAAGTGAGAAATCATCTCCCGGGGGGATGGCTACACCACAGTCCCTTTTCCTCCATTCTCCTTATGGGATCTTGGACCCACATGCACATTTACCTGGCGTGGTTTTGAAGCCACCAGATCTGGGACTCACACTATGGTCTGTCATGGGGGAATCCAGCGATGTAACCTCTACTCCATCTGCTGATCCAACAGTGTCATATATTGATATGTGGTTTGTTGTTTACTGAAAAATTATCACACAGTGCATGACTATATGATTTACAAATATTTTCTTCCATTTTCTGGGTTTTCTTTTTACTTTCATGGTAGCATTGATATATTTTTTAAATTTAATTTTTATTTAATTTGCTGTAGTGCATATTGACCTCCAGAGAGAGAAGGAGGGAGGGAGGGAGGCAGGGAAAGTGAGAAAGCAAGCCACCAGGTCTGAGGCATGAACGGTGAACCACAGTTGACCATGTCCAGTGCCTTAACCACCACACCACCTGCCAGCCTCTTGTATATTTTTGTTTTGTTTTTAAGTGAATGGGATTATCTCTTTGTTTTATGTACATGACACTAGTAATAGTTTCTTAATGAGGATATATCCTGTTTCTAACTTACGATTTTTGTCAAGAGTAGAATATTGATTTTTTTTTTTTTTTTTTTTTTGCCAGAGGGTATATGCACTTGTCATAGAGGGAAAAAGAAAGAAAGCCACACACGGGGAACAGTTGACCATGTCCAGTGCCTTAATTACCACACCACCTGCCAGCCTCCTGTTTAAAAAATAATAATAATAATAATTTAATGGGATTATCTCTGTTTTATGTACATGACACCACTCTGTTTCTCCATCTTGTCTGGAATTTGGGTACGCATGCACACACACACTCAAGCATGTTTCTCAAGTCACCAGGTCTAAGACTTGAACTGTGGAGTTGGCCGTGTGGAATCTAGCTGCCTTAACCACCAGGCCACAGACCTGTCATATCCTGACTTCTAGTTAAATGTCTTTTTGGTGTTGGTCAAAAAAAGTTGCCCTTCTTTCTACTGTTTGTGTAATGTATTGTTAATAGTTTTTTTGGTGATGTTAATTAATTTTGCCTTGGCATTCTTAGAATCCATTTTCCTAGCTCATTTTTCACTGTTACTGCACATTTGAGGTACTTCTTTATAATTTAGGACTTTTTACCCTTTTTTTACTTTTTTTTAAGAGGTTTTTGCTATAGGGTTTGTGCATTCACCAGAAAGTCAGAGAGAGACAGACAGAAAGCAAGAAATCACCCCCCAGGGTGGATGGCCACGCTGCAATCTCTTCTCCTCCATTCTCCTCTTAGGATCTTGGGCATGCATGCACACACACCCGGCGTGAGTTTAAGCCGCCAGGTCCAGGACTTGAACTGTGGGCGACTACATGGGAGTCCAGCGACATAGCCATTACGCTAACTGCTGGTCCCTTTTTACTCTTTTTTTTGGAGATTTTTTTTTTTTGCTATAGGGCATGTGTGCTCGCCAGAAAGACAGAGCCAGAGAGATAGAAAGCAAGAAATCACCCCCCCCCTTCCTCCGGGGAGATGGCCACACCACAATCCCTTCTCCTCCATTCTACTCTTGGGATCTTGGGCACACACGCACATGTACCCGGCGTGAGTTTAAGCCACTGGGTCTGGGACTCGAACCACAGTCGGCTACATGGGAGTTCAGTGACATAGCCATTACGCTAATTGCTGGTTCCTTAGGATTTTTAATATGTATTCTTGAATCTTAATACTATGTGGTTACGTTATGCTGTAACTTTGATATAGGTGTTGCTATCAGAGGTATATTGAATTTGTAACAAGAATTGGCAAGTTTTCCATTTTTCTTCTGAGTTCTGATTCCTGTGGTCATTTTCCATTCTTTGAAAGTTTACAAGCCCATGGGACCAGCAGATGACGTAATGGTTACGTCACTGAATTCCCACTTAGTTGACTGCAGTTTGAGTCCGTAACCCAGTAGCTTAAAACTCATGGTGTGTGTGCGTGTGTACACACACGCATGCCCAAGATCCTGAGAAGAGAATGGAGGAGAAGGAATTGAGGCATGGTTATCCCCCTGGGGAGTGATTTCTCACTTTTCTGGCTCTGACAAGTGCACCCACTCTGTAGCAAAGAATCTTAAAAAAAAATGTTTACAAGCACTTAAGTGTACATTATCTTTTAGAAAAAAAAATTTTTAAATATCAATTATGAGTTCATGATTTTCTATTTTTTGAGAAAATTTTATAATTTATCCTTTTTTTTCCCCTTTAGTTTGCTGTAGGGCACATATTCTGAGAGAGAGAGAGAGAGAGAGAAATCAACTTTGGGGTTAGTTGTGGGTGGGATGGCCATGCCACGATTTCTTCTTCTCTATTCTCCTCTCAGAATTTTGGGCACATACGCATACACACTCAGCATATTTCTCAAGCTACCAGGTTGGGATTGGAGCTGAGTAGTCAGCCATGTGGGATCTGTGGGATCCAGCTGCCTTAACCTCTGTGCTACCTGCTAGCCCTGTAATTTATACTTTAATAAAAAATCATGTATATTATGAAACACATCACTGATTATTTGAACTCAGTAATGTTATGAAATTTACTTACATATTAATTTTGCTGTAGGGTGCTTGCACTTGGCAGAAAGACAGAGAAAGTGTGACATTATCTCTCAGGAGGACGGCCACACTGCAATCCCTTTTCCTCCCTTCTCTCAGGATTTTGGGCATTAGTACACTGGGTCTGGGACTGGAACCACCGAGTTAGCCATGTGGGATCCTGTGCCTTAACTCTACACTACTTCCTGGCTCCAAATAAATGATATTTTAATGGTGAGTGAAAGACTATTTGTCTTTTGAGATATTTGAGGGCTCTCAAGAGTTTACAGATGTAGGACAGCTGCTGGCATGGTAGTTGAGGTGACTGGATTCCACATGACTTGCTGCATGGTTCAGATCCTGGGTTTATCAGCTTGAAAAACATGGTTGCATGTGCTTGTGTGCCCAAAATCCCGAGAGGAGGATAGAAGAGAAAGGATTTTAGTATAGTCATTCCCCTGGTGTGG